GCTGGTGCACAAGCCTTTTCAACGAGCTGATCCCTCAGCATCTCTTCTTCCATGTTAGCATAAGCACAAGTAGCCGCTAATTCCCTCAGCGCTGCAATATACTGAGGCACCGTCTCGTCAGCGTGTTGAGCCCTCTGTTTGAACTGTTGGCGAGCCATGACAGTATTAACTTTTGGTACAAACTGACCTTCCAACGCCGCCATGGCTTCAGCATACGTAGTGCCGGTGTCCGGTAGGGTGTAGAACAAACGTTGTCCTTCTGTGCCGAGAGCATGAATTAGCAGAGCCCTCCATCTAGCCTCCGGCCAGGAGCCTCCAGTAGCATGTATGGCTAACAGATAATTCTCGAACATTTTCCTCCATGTGGCAAACGGCACAGGCGGTTCTCCACTGCAGGGCAGGAATGGTTCAGGCATGGGTACGGACATCGTCACCAACTGTTATGCGTAAAGGTGGTAGCAAGTAGAATAAGCACCGAGGCAGCACTCCTTTTAGCTGGCTTTATTAGCAACCGGGCTAACACACATGCTCTGTGCAGGATCAACGTCAAGTACACACACACTCTTCTTCTACGCTCTCTCTCTCTGTAGCTGTTTACAACAGGCCACACTTAGGCTTACTATGCCACCTAGTGGCGGACACAACAGAATGGGAAACAAAAAGTGACGCTGATAATGAACGTGCAGAATTACACAATCTTTACACACTGACATGCTCTATTTCACAAACACCAAAGGCCCGTTTCCACCGCAGGAACTTCGGGGTAATTTTACGGGGCCGGGGCCGTTGGTGCGTATCTCCACCGCAGGAACCACCCCCGAAGGACAGAGTTCCGGAACTTTTACAGGGGCTAAACAAGTCCCTGCCTCGGGGTAGGTATTCAGAACGGCCCCAAGAAACTCCTGGCTGGGGCTTGGGGATTACTTAGTGCTGATTGGATATACTCAAGGCGCGATGTGACGTTTTGTTAATAACAACATGTTATCATAGTTTAGCTAGGCTAACCGTTAGCTGTTAGCGGTGTCTGTAACTCAATAAACAGTCCGTAATTTTTTTTTTTCCAGCGGATATCTTAGTTACAACATGATTGAGGTAGCAAAGCAGTTTTGTGTTGCTATGTGTGGTATTTATTCAGTTTTGGGAAATCACGATGTCTAGAAAGCATCGGCTGACAGGGACAGCTAACAGCTGGTCAAAATGGCCGTGCAACGATTACGTCACATACAGAGCCCGGTAACTTCACAGGAACCTCCCTCCTACTCCGCTCTCTCAGTGGAGACACGGCTATGTCACACCGTTTTAACATTTAATCGCTAGACTGGATATTCATTACTGATATCTGCAACATAATTTTGCCTAGTCAAAACTCTTATTCAAGATATCTGTAATTAGATTTTGACCAGTCAAAACTCTAATTACAGATATCTGTAATTCAGTTTTGACTAGTAAGATTCAAACTATTTTTGCCATTCATGTGTATGGGGTTTGTCATTATAGATATCTCCAATGTAGTTGCGGATATCTGCAATTGTTATTGCGGATATCTGCAACTGAATTGTGGATATCTGTAATTACAGTTTGAGATATCTACAATTTAATTTTGATTAGTCATAATTCAAGTTCAAGATATCTTTAAATATCATCAGTTGAAGATATCTACATGGTCCTTTTCTAGATATCTTGAATTGAGTTTCAGATAGTCAGAATGACGTTGTAGATATCTTGAATTCGAATTATGACTAGTCAAAATGACGTTGTAGATATCTGTAACTGAATTATGACTAGTCAAAATGACGTTGTAGATATCTACAACTGAATTATGACTAGTCAAAATGACATTGTAGATATCCGCAACTGAATTATGACTAGTCAAAACGAAGTTATAGATATCTGAAACTGAAATTTTGACTAGTCAAAACTGAATTACAGATATCTGTAACTGTAGTTTTGACTAGTCAGAATGACATTATAGATATCTGTAATTCAGTTTTGACTAGTCAGAATGACGTTACAGATATCTGTCATTCAGTTTTGACTAGTCAGAATGACATTACAGATATCTTAAATTAAAATTCATACTAGTCACAATGACATTACTACTAGTCAAAATTATGTTATAGATATCTATAATGGTAATTCCGGATAGTCAAACTTAGTGATTAAATGTTAAAACGGCTTGCCATACACGGCGGTTGAGAGGGCTGGGCAAGAGGACGTTCCTGTAGTAGTTCCTGCCCCCCAAATAGTACCAGGAACTTCTTCAGTGGAAACGGGCCTCAAGACTATGTGAACAAGCCTATAATAATGTCTAACGTACTGTGGTATAATTTACCAAAGGACAATATATTTACAACAACTACTTGGACACCAGCATTTGTGGTGTCTGTTACTGTAAGAGCTTGGGTACTGTAATGTAGATTTATGTCAGGAAACTTAGCTTTAGGTAAGAACTTTTAGAGTTTTCAGTTAGAGGATTTAGACAAGAACAATGTTGAAAAATCTGTTGTTTATCTTACAGTCAAAATTAATGTTAATATAAACCAACATCAACCACAAAGAAGCCAAACTACATGTGGCATTCACAAAAGGGAACTTTATTGAGGTGTATTGGACAGTATACCATATTACACACATTTATGCATTTAAAATCAATGTAGATTAAAACAGAGCAATTGTTGAGTAAATAACAAAAAGCCAAATACGCTAGTTTATTACTATAATCTAGACTAGTTCTCTCTACTTCTTATATATGAATGAAGACATACACAAGTCATTATTTTGCAGTAAGCAACAGTTTTGTCCTTGAAAATGAAAGAAAAACATCAGGATCACTCTTTGAAAAGTCTGTGTCAGATCTAACTCACAGTATGTATTGTAAAGAAGGTTCAAGGTTTAAGTGAGACACCCAAAAAAGTAATTAAAATTTCATCACGCTGGTCTCAATCGATCAAAGTGAAACAAATAAAAACAAAAACGTGTAAAAAAAAAAAAAAAACATGCACATATTCAAAACTAAGAAAAAAAAGTTTAATTAAACTCGCACCATAAAAACCACTATAGTCCCGTTTCCACCAAACACTTTCAGTATAGTATCTTTGGAACCAAAGTAACCCTTCAGACATGGTACCTAGACCCTAGAGTGTCCACCGCAAACAGTACTCTTTCATGTTACATAGAGGAAAGTCTGCACCTCATTTCTCAACCACAGAACGGGACTGCACGCTGACATTTTCAGAACAAAATAAAACAGGCTGCAGTGAGAGCTCAGGGGTTTAGTGTTGCTGGCGTCAACAGGAAGGATGCTCCCCCTTTCCCTCCAGCTCTTCTTCCATCCCCTCCCTCCTTCCCACATCAGTTGATTGTCAGACTGGTGTGCTGATTGCAGATGACGTTCAGGTGTGCAGTGAGTGGGAGAGTGTGAGAGGAAGAGGGGGGAGGGAAACAAGCAAACAGACCAAACCAAAAGACACCAAGCACACGTCACTCAAACAAAGAAATAACACCCCAAACACACAGGCAGGGGTCACAGTGGAGAGGCTGTGACATTGCGAACGTTTGACTGTAAGGGAGGATACTGTAAAGATTTTTACAACCACATTTCAAGCAGTGAGACTTTCAACAGATGTATGTGCAACAGGGTACAAATTAGAATAACAAGAAGAGCACTCATAGGCACCTTGTTAACTGACACATTTATTTGTGTATTACAGTCATCCTCAGTGTATTTTAAATCCAAAAGACTGGCACACATCTAAAGAGCAATCATTATAAGGACAGAAGCTAAACTGACATGTCTTCCTGTACTTCAGAATCTTTGGAAATGAACAGCACCCGGACTGTGTAGACATCTTTTTCTCTATTTTCCAAAATGAGGACCACAAGCAACATTTTTTAATAACAATGTTAATGTCTAAAAAGGCACAAACCTTCAGCTTTAAGGTAGCAAATAATTAATATGTATTACTATAGGACAACACTTAATCTAAAGTTCAAACTGTCTTGCTTACTGCTGGTGAAATGGGCTCTGTGTCTGTACGACCAGAAGGTGGTAACATTGGGCCTCCACCCAACCACACCTATTCCAAGTAAATGTGAGAGGTGAAAATCATAACAGTTTGGTTGAGGCTGATTGCCTCAGTCATTGTGGGGAGGGTTACCTCTAACAAAGTTACAAAGGCATAGTGAGACATGTCATAAAACTTGCTGGCACACAGCATCAACAGCAGCTTACTCACCGTGCACACACCCAAACTCACACACAGAGGAGCTAACCTCAAGGTATACTAGATCAGCCAAAGAAGTAAAAAATGGTTTGTTAAGAGTGGTGACGAATCACTTTTTGATTGTTTTTTTGTTGTTGTTGCATCAGTCAGAGGCACTTTGCTAACATATATTAGCATAACACATACCTGCCATTACCACTAATCTTAAAAACGAAACACACCTCTGTTGAACCTGTTTGAACCTGAACAGCAATTAATATTACTGTCACCTGATGGCATGTGAATGTTTAAAAAAAACAGACAACACTATAAACAAGCACACTGTTAACCCTGCATACACCTTTTCATAGAGGGATCCTTTATCAGCACTGGGAGTGCACTGACTGATGAGAAGGAAACAAAAAGTGAAGCTGATAATGACCGTGCAGAATTACACAATCTTTACACACTGACATGCTCTGTTTCACAAACACCAAGACTATGTGAACAAGCCTATATTAATGTCTAATGTACTGTGGTATAATTTACCAAAGGACAATATATTTACAACAACTACTTGGACACCAGATAGATAGCATTTGTGGTGTCTGTTACTGTAAGAGCTTGAGTACTGTAATGTAGATTTATGTCAGGAAACTTAGCTTTAGGTAAGAACTTTTAGAGTTTTAAGTTAGAGGATTTAGACAAGAACAATGTTGAAAAATCTGTTGTTTATCTTACAGTCAAAATTAATGTTAATATAAACCAACATAAACCACAAAGAAGCCAAACTACATGTGGCATTCACAAAAGGGAACTTTATTGAGGTGTATTGGACAGTATCACACACATTTATGCAAAACATGTTTAATTGTGAAAAACAAAAAGTCTCTGGGAGATCATAGTACACTGGTGGGTTAGACCCGCACCATAAAAACCACTATAGCCCCGTTTCCACCAAACACTTTCAATATAGTATCTTTGGAACCAAAGTAACCCTTCAGACATGGTACAAACTGAACTGTACCATACTACTCGGTGGAAACGGGGCTTACATCTCTAGTTTGAATCCAGCTCCCTCCACCCTTCTCCCCACATTTTCTATCTGCCTCTGATGTATAATCACTTGAAAGCAAAAATGTCTCTCTGCATGTAATACACAACAACAAGCAAACTCAAAGTACATTAAAAACTCAAAAAGAACAGGGATACGATAACTTGACAAAAATGGTTGAGATCAAATCCAGAGGTGTCATGTCTCTGAGGGATCAGTGTGCCCACAGGGACCTTCAGTGGGTGATCAGGCATCTGCTGATTCTCTCCACTGAGCAAACCTGAAACATCCACCAGAGAAACAAACAGTGAAGTTGTGACATTGAACAGTAATGAATTACAACAGGGCTGTCATATCATCTCTCCCATCATCGACTTTGATCATCAGTTTCACTAAAACTTACCTATGCACACGTCATGAATGGGTTGCTGGGACAGGTGGATCAGCACTAGTATAATTAAAAGCATTGTTAGCATTATTCAGAACAGTTCATAGTCAAAGAATTATGTGGACGTTTAACAACAGTTTTACCTCATATATGGTGGTGCTTCAATTGAGTTTTCCTTCAGTTCATCACAGTACTTCTTCACCATCTGGAGCTCATCTGAAACATCTACAAAAATAAAAAACAACATATTGTTCACCAGTGCACTATCAATTATTAAATGATTGGAAATGTGGTGACTTATTCATTTCAATTAGATATTTACAGTATTTTAGTGATTAACATATTTTTATTTTTAAATGTTCCATTTCAGCCTGTTCTCACTCCCAACTCGTCAAATGCCACCACTTTGCTGCAGATACAGACATACTCTACCTTTTGTCAAGGTATGATACGCACTGGGCAGCGGTATATTTCTGATGCTGCTGGCAACTGCCGCAGTATAAAGAGCCAAAAAGTCCCTATAGGGCAGGTGGGAGGGTGGATGGGACAAACGAACACTAGACACACACATGGTAGTTAGCAGTTGCTGGTATACATAGCATGCAACAGAAGTAACATATGTCACATGATGTATTTCACGTGATGCGACGCTACATGAGGAAGAACTGTACTTATTCTAGGCCAAACCATGATGTTTTTTATAAACCTAACCACGTGCTTTTGTTGTCTAAACCTAAGGAAATAAACCAAAAGTGAGGTGTTTAACTATTAAGTTTATTTTGAAAAAGACTGCATGCATGTTATGAGCAGAGCTGTACATTTTCCTGAGAAAATGGAAATGTATTTAAAAAAGACATAATGTATGTCCAAGTGTCAAATGAGACACTCTCCATGAATGTCCAATTTTTGACGTTTAGATCCACTGACAAAACAGCAGTATTTGACAAGTCAGAATGAGAGCACATTGTCCATTTACCTGGGACTGAGTCACCATCTGTATTCAGTGACAGCTCGATTGATTCCTGCATTGTGTTCTCCACTTCCCTCAGGATCAGCACCTAAATTAACAAATTCTTCATCACTCTTCACTCACACAGCCAAATATTGTGTTCAAGATGAACTAAATCTAACATGAATGAACTGTTTAGATGTGTGTTCAGAGGGCAGCTCAGACTGGGCATATTGGCTAATGGGGGGTTTAAGCTCAAAGGGCTAAAGCCTTATTGTGTCTGTATCAGTTTATTATTATCATTATTTTTATTTTTATTTTGATTTTTTTGCAAATTTCTGTGAGATGGTGCATCGTAGACCAAGCAAATTTTCTCCAATGATTGGACGTTGTGTGCAGTTGCTGCCTAAGAAATATAACTCCAAGCAGCCTGATGGGGGCACTGTAATTAAAGGTTAACTTCAATAGTTGTTACTCATACATCATGAGTGGGATTGGCTTGAAATGTGATTCACAAGTCCAGCTCAGTGTGTCCTACAAAAAGCCTTAAAACCTATCAGGGTCAGCTGGTAAGGTTTTTAGTCATTTTGAATTTTTTGAAAAACACATTTTTTGACATCTCCTTGTAAACCGTGGATCATCACTAGACCAAGCCTGTCAACAGTTCTGAAAAGCTTGTTGATATCTCATGGTGTTTTGAAGAAACTGACACAATGAACATTAGAGAGGGGGCATGGCTCAGCACAAAAATAGACCTAACCAGGAACCGTTGAGCCAACACTTGCAGGAAATGCCTAAAGAGGTGCCAGCAACATACCCTGAACGTTTCATGTAAATCAACCACCAGGGGGCACACAAATGCAAGAAAAAATGGGTGTGGCATAACATGAATCAGGCTATAAATCAAAATTGCTTTTATTCCAATTATTACAAAACTTGCAGGATATGTTTAATTATTGTAATTGCAAGTGTGTAAAATTGACATTTGACATCTCCTCCTAAACCATGGGTCTGATTTGTACCAAATTTTCTGTGGATCATCATCAGACCAAGTTCATCAAGAGTTATCAAAATCTTCTGATATCTGATTGTTTAGAAGATACTGACCAGTGAACTTCAAAAGGGGCGTAGCTCAGACATAAATAGACCTAACCTCAGCAACACTTGGGCTGATCATCATGAAACTTGTAAAATATGTCAATGTACATACCTGAAACATACCCTGAAAGTTCTATTCAAAATGACCACCAGGAGGCACCACAAATGCAAATACAAATGCAGCTGTATTAACTACATAATCTTTTGTATGTTTCTAACAGTTGAATGTTGAAAGTCCCTGCAGTCTTTTAGTAGCAAAAGCAGCTTTCAGACTTTCAACTTGAATATTGAAAAAGTCTTCATGTAAAAGATGACAATTGCGGACAAAGATAAAGATGTGCAGCACATGTTTGATTAATTATATGAGGTATTATAAAATGTGACAAACCATCAAGTTTTCCAGCTGCTCCAACATAACGTTTTTCGCCCTCTGAAATATGATGTCCTTTGAATCTCGTACATGGTTCTCAATAGTGCTCCTCATGTTTTTCAGCGAGCCTCCTCCTCTAATTTCTGCTGCTTCTAAAATAAAACAATTAAATTATGTCAACTAAATTTTTCAGCACAATCACATTAAATGTAGGTATGTAGTAATATTGAGTCAGGTTGTACATGTCATGGTCTACTATCTTACTTTCATAGCATTCTTGCATGTTGTCCTCGATTGTCTCCATCAGACTCTTGTAGATCATTTTCTTTTGCTCCTGGATGGTTTTGTTGAGTTTTGTCTTCATTTTTTCTTCCTTAGAGAGACCACGAATTATACAGATTCTTTATTCTTTATTCAGGATCCCCATTAGTTGTTACCACAGTAACAACTACTCTCCCAGGGGTCCACACAAAATGCAAAAACTAGACAAGTCATTGAATGATCACATCATTATGTAGGTCAGGAGATATTATACAGGATGGTGACTATTAAACAGCATCATTACATGCATGCCTTTCATTTCATTTATTTGTTAATACAGGAAAGGAATTAAAAGTAACATGGTGTGTTACAATTAAAACTGGCCTGACTCAGTAAAAAACTGGTTTTCAGCAGGTTCCTGTTATGCAACAAAAATGCATTACAATATAAAATACAAACAGAAATAATTAGCAGAGGCTAAACAACAAAATGTAGGCAGCTACATAGACATTGCAGAGCAGTGGACTGAAATGGAGTGAGTAGCATGGGATATGGGATTGAAATCAGTGGTTGCAGGTCTGTCCTTCCATCAGGTGGTGTTGAAATGCGTGTTTAAAATGTGTAAAAGAGGGTATTGCTCTGATGTAGTGGGATCTCGTTCCAAAACTTAGAGTGAGTGTGACAAAATGATCTCTGACCGTAATTGTTTTTGTAAGGTGGTATAGGAATAAGTGCATGTGAGACTGATCTAGTGAGGTGTTGCTGTCTTGTGCTGTGACTTGGAAGTAGTGCACTAAGTGTGGGATTGGAGTTGTTGTGTAGGAGCTGATGAGTCCAAAGAGGGAGGTTACCATGGATCTTGTAAGCTTTGTTGTATATTGTTGCTATGGGTTCAATGTTTTCCTTTGTGGTGAGGGACCATAAATGATTGCATGTTAGGTATGTGTCTGAAACAGCAGGGGTGAGATATGGTCTGATCTTGTTCTAGACGTACAGTTTCTGGTTGAGCTTCTTTTTTAGGTTCTGAATGTGGTGTCTACTGTAAGTGAGATGTGAGTCAAGATATACTCCAAGATATTTGTAGGTTTCTGTGATGGTTAGTGTTTGATCTGAAAACTGAATAGGGTCAGACATAGATATTGTCTATTTAGGGGACTGAAAATACATACATTCTGTTTTCTTGACAGTGATAGTTAAATGATTATGTTTCAGCCAGTCATGTAAGTGGTTCAGATCAGATGATAGCTTTGAATTTAAGATGTCGGGGTTTGGGTCAGAGAGAATAATTACAGTTTCATCAGCATATAGAAAACAATTAGAATATTTACACACGTTTGGAAGGTCATTTATGTAAAGGAGAAAAAGTAGGGGGCCAAAGATGCTGCCTTGTGGAACTCCCATATTACAAGTTAGAGGTTGTTGGGTGAGATTTGTATTTGCTCAGTAAATATCAATAGTGCAGACATAGTTGATCGGGTGGAGCGGAAACCATACTGGAAGTCACTGAAGTTATTGCTTTCAAGGTGAGTGCTAAGTTGGTTGTAAAGGAGTTTTTCCAATAATTTTGATAATACGGGAGAAATGAAATTGGCCAGTAATTTGAAACCAGGGTTGGATCCTCAGATTTAAAAACAGAGGTGATTTGAGGTGTTTTCCAGTTGGAGGGAAAGATAGAGAGCCTGATACAGTGATTGATCAGATGGTGGAGAAGAGGCATTAGTCTTTAAGAAAACCATGTTTAAACCATAAATATCACAAGCACGAGAGGTTTTCAAGCAGTTCAAAATGTTAAACATTTCAAGCTGAAACCTCTTGCAATCTTTTCAGTTTCAGTAATAATGGTGATGATCACGATAAAAGGTCACTTTTATGTCCACGTTCACCAGCAACAGTTCTTGTGGACATTCCTGCAGTCACCATGCTAACAACAGGCTCCATTAAAACTTGCAGCACCTGTATAGTTATGATGCTGTTTAATCAGCATCTTGATATGCCTATGCCACACCTATCAAGTGGATGCATTATCTTAGAAAAGAAGAAGTGCCCATTAAGTCAGATTTGAACAAATTTGAGAGATATATCTACTGAGTGCATAACAAGTCTTAGATCTTTAACTTAAATCTGTGGAAATGGGGGCAAAAACAGAAGTGTTGCATTTAATTTTGTTTATTATACTTTTTGATGAAAAGCAGTAAAATATTTAAACTGATTTTCAGAGTAGGACCCGTTTTCCACCATGTGAGGGTGCACATATCTTTTGTTGACTTAGGTCCAAAATCTTCTTCGACACTGGGGGGATCTGTCGGCTTTGCAGCAGCTGTTAATTTTTCACTGAGTCAGTTTTAACTGACAGAAATACACTTGCTATCAGCATTTAATGTATTGATAAAGTCTGTCGATGTAATAATTATGAATATGTTAACAGGTCAAAATATCTTTTTTTTTCAGCATTAAGCCTTTCATTTCAGTCCTCAGTCACAAACTTGGTGCTTGGGTTGATTTGCTCACCCTTCTGCTTTCATCACCCCGACC